TCTGTTTTTTTTTTTTTTTTTTTGGTAATTTTCTTAGGGCAGCATGAATCCATTTTTTCCCCCAGAAGAAAACAAGGGGAATATGTTTTACAAGTTGCCTGACTTGTAACCCTTAATAACCCCTTTGCTACATTTTGTCCCAGTTTGTCTGTAGTTTTCTCATTGGGTAAATAGTTTTTATGTTTGTGTGCCTTATAGCGGTCAGTCTATACATTAGAGGCCTTGTGCAGACTTGGGATAAACAGGAATTATTCTTTGTTTATCCTCAAAATGAAAAGTTTACTGCCCATACTATTAAATTGGATCTATTTAAATCTACAGCCTCGTGTCTAGCATATATATTTCACTTGCTCAGTTTGTGGATGTTCCTCAGAGGTTGGTTTTCTGTGAATTCTGACATATACACTTAGTTGTTTGCTTAGTTACAGAAATGGAGAATTCTCCTGCCTAAACACCCTTTGCTGCTCAGCAGTGTTTAGTGGTACTGACACTCAACCTACACTGTTTAAATAAATTTACTGTGAGTCACTAGGTACCCTTATTAGTGAGTGTGAGTGTGCATGTAGGTGAAGCCTATACAACAGGGGTCCCCAATTCTGATCCAGCAGAGTCTGCAGATTTCCCTGCTCTGATTGGCAGGTTTTGTAGGTGTGTCTGGGGGGGAGGGGAAACTGCGGGGAAGAACACAGAATACCTGGTGCAGGTTTGTTGGGAGCTGGGAGGGAGCAACATTATAGTCTGTCTGGGGGTCCCTGACGACTGGGTTGAGAAACACTGGTGTAGAGGTTTTGTACTAATACGGTTGGGTATTTTTGTATACTGAGTGTAGGTGGGGAAAAGATTTGCCACACATTGGTAAATGCGGATGCCTGAAAGACACACTTCTAAGGGATTACACCGTTCAGAATTGTCTGTGTTATGTAAGTTTTATAGATATTTTTGGAAAGATCTGGAAATTATATATAAATTGTCTGATTTTACAGCTTCATAGAAATTATCAGATTTTATCTGAGAAGGCCATAAAGTCAGAAATGCCTTGTATTTGCAGAACACATAACATATTTGGAAATGGCCTGTTCCCTGGAGAAGTGTGAAAATGCAGATTTGAACTCTGGATTGACTGCTGAGAGGGCCTTGTATTTTCAGCAGACCTTCATCAGTGCTTCACCAGTTCACAACTGGGATTTTACTTGTATAAGCAGCACACTGGAAGAAAGGGCCCAAATAGCCCTGGAAGCTTAAGAGTTGAGTACAGATTTAAAATCAGAATTAGGCATCATGTTTTACAATAAGACATAGTTTTCTGAGTAATCCCAAAAAAAAAAAACATTTTTTCTTCTACCATTTTCCTCCTGCTTCATTCCCATGTACTGACTCATAACATGAGACCTTCTTTTGTTTTAGTTGTTAAAAACCACATTTTGTTGATTTTTCAGAATACTATATGTTTGAGTGTGCTGGCATCATAGTTGTTGTGATTGTTCCATATGCAATGTATGCTGACCTGTTTAGTGAGAATTTACTTTGTAGGTGTAATGTGCTTTGCACGGTTTGTAGAATGCTGGAGATTATGGGCTGGACTGAAACTGACATCACATGTAAAGCTCCTCTCTGGATGTTTCCCATTATGGAAATAAAGCAAGTCAGACAGCCAAAATGCTTTGGCTTTCATACTGCCAGGCCACCCAGTCTTTCACTGTAACCCACAAAGCAAGCCGCATATTCGCTAACAGTAGCGTGATTCCCTTACTGTTTAGTAGGACCCATGAAAGCTACCGGTACCCAGTGATGAACTTCAACACTGGCCTACATTAGCCCACACATAACAGGCTTTCAGAATTGCATAAGTGCACATTTAAAAAAATCTTTATATAGTTGGTCCAGTAATTTTGATATGATCACTCATTCTAACGATGTCTGTCTGTGTGTTTAGGAATACACCACTAAATACGCGGTAGGGGAGAGCAGTACACCGGTGTTATAGTTAGTATCGGTGTGATTCTCTGCCGTGATATGGATTTACACTGTACCGTTAACACTGAGAATTCAACATTTTAATTATACAACAGGCTATTTATAAAAAATAAAGCATTTTATTTTCTTAAGCGTCATTTGTAATCTAAATACTTGTGCTTAAATAGTTTATGTAACCAGTTTATCGGTGTTGTGTGCATTTTCTATTAAACACAGTTCGATGCAGTGTTGCAATACCAGATTAACAAATTCTGTAATTATCCACATTAAACAAAATAATCTGGTTGCAAATATATAGTAGCCAATTAAAAAGTAAAATATTTGCTAAATCTGCATATTTTTGGAAATGGCCTGTTCCCTGGAGGAGTGTGAAAATCCAGATTTGAACTCTGGATTGACTGCTGAGAGGGCCTTGTATTTTCAGCAGACCTTCGTCAGTGCTTCACCAGTTCACAACCGGGATTCATGCAAGGTGTGTGGTAAACGGTGCATCTGTCAAGTTACTACTAGACCCGTCCGTTTCCCATACCAACAAACGTCAGACCTCCAAGCACTTTGGTGTATGCAGCCCTTTGGTTTGCGCTAATTATTTAGCCATTAGTGTTAATAACAGCGAATCTAACAAACACCCTCAACCAAAAACCCGTAATGTCCCTGTCATAGTGGCTGCTTTGTCCTGAAATCGTTTTCAAACGCAGTATATTTTAAAATGTTGGATAAATAGATGTGGTTTATTGGTGATTTCATGGTAGTCAAAGTTTGTTTTTTAACAACTAGCTTGAAACAAAAAATGTACGTTCTCAGGGTTGCCAGCTCTCACGTATCTGGTGTGATACTCAGGCTTTCAGACTCACGCTCATGCTCAGGAAATCTATATTATTCCATTATAAACCTAAAAATGGTGACATCAAAAGCGTTGGGGTAATCTGCAAACCATACAGACTGTTTTCAAGGCAATAAAACTGTTACATACATGTAAATGCTTTTGTATGTGAGTGCAGACTTGTCTTGAATTTAAAATCTCAAGTTGGCAAACCTGCATTTTAATTTAAATGAACTGTAAAATGCACTGTTTCTACTGAAGCAGCTTGTTGCTCCAATGATTATAAAACAAATGTGAGAAAACATTACATATGACTTATCTTTTCGAAATAAGACCACCCATACCCATCTATAATAGCAATTAGTGTACTAAATATATTATAAAAAATTTTACATAAAGGGACAGGACATGCTACTCCTCCCAAAACTTGCAAAAAAGCAACACCCTGATATAATACTGCCACCATCCAAAGAGTGTAAAATACCATGATTATAAAGAGTCTGAGCAGTATACTTGATTGAACGGTTTCCAAAGATAAAAATCCCAGTTGTGAGAAGTGTAGAGGAACACCTGAAAAGATGTTTCAAAAGTTTTTCTGAAAATGTTTTTACTCTAATTTGTCCTTTAACTTTTAGTTAATAATTATTGTTCCTAATATTCTTTGAAGCATGAATGATTTAATGGTATGTTTTCTACTAATCTGAGTATCAGCAGATCCATCAATGGAGAAATTAATTTATGGTCTTGGCTAAAGTAAGCATTTCAATTTTCACTGTTCAGCCAAGTTTTATATGGAGCCCATTTTGGGTTGCAGTGATTTATAATGCAGGACATTTTCTGTAGTATTTACATTGTGTGATGTCCTTTGGAGCTTTGGTTGTTAATTATAATGTAATGAATTACATTTTAAGCTCACAGACCCTTTGATGTCCCCCATTGAGGTGAGTTGCCTTCTTGGGGGGTAACAAGGTTTCCAGACTGTTCCTTGGTTAGCAAGCATCTTGCTAAGTCCCCAACAGCGATTGGTGACCCCTTCACAGAGTTCAGGTCTGCTGTTTATGGCCGTGCTAGTGTTCAGGGCCTGGCTGATGGCACACTCATTTAACATAACAAGGAAAACATGGAAAAGATTTGCTTTAACAAGAGTCTTCTATATGGTGCATTTTGCCTAACATAAATGCAAATTGTGTTTGTTTGTATAGGGTGTATCCTTTGTGTTACTGGTTTAGTTTGTTAGGCATGACGGCCCTTTTTTGTTGAATGGAAATCCATATGAATGCAGTTCATATTTCCTGCAAAGGCATGTCTCATATACTTATGTGTTTACATCCTATAATATTTGTCCCTTTTTCCTTTAATGCCTTGACTAATTCTCTCCTTCTCATCTTCTCTCCCTCTCATACTGGGTGTGTGTATGTGGCTGACTTTGTAAAGGAAACTGTCCCTGGTGAGCTAGATAATGCATTGTTTCCAGGCAGTGCATCTTGGAATGTGCATTTCTGTTCTGCTGTTATCAGAATCGTTTGTACTCTCCATACTAGTATCCAGGGCTGGAATGTTCAGGTCCAGAAATTACAAATCCAGACCAAGGTTTTGTTTCTACCGACCAGTTGAGTATTCTGTCACTGTGACTCTTTATACTTGGTTGGTAGAAACAAAACCTTGGTCTGGATTTGTAATTTCTGGACCTGAACTTTCCACCACTGCTTTTATCTATGGGGGCCATTCTTTTGGAGGATCACTGTTTCCTTCCAGGAGGTTACCAAGATATACTGCCTGAGTTTATCTCCTGTGCCATCTTGAGCTGGGAACTTTATACTGGGGGGGGGGGGGCAATATTCCTGGGTTCAGCAGGTCAACACTTAATGATAGCTTAATATCACTCTCCTCAAAACCCATTTTGGACCCTCATGTCCATGCTCATGTTTCTCTGATACCTCCCTTGCTCATCCCCATGTACTGTATGCATTCATGCACTCTACACCCACTTCATGCCTTTGCTGCACCTATTAATTTTTATCTCGTCCTGAAGACAGATTTCCTGTGCAATGCGTTTGTATCTTTGGTTGAATGATAGATGTACTCGGGGAGATGCCAGCATACAGAGACATGTTGGATGCGTGCAGTTTAAGTGAAGGTCTGATCTAATCTGTTTATTTCGTGGACTGTGCCCTAAAGTAGGGCTTGCTTTTCCATTTCCCAGACTGCCTCTTCAAGCTGTGCCCCATGAACAGATATTCTGCACAAAAGCAGTTCTGGAAGGCAGCGAAGCCGGGAGGGAACAGCACAACGGACACAGTGCTGCTGAATAAGCTGCATGTGAGTGGTCTGCCGCCATAGCTGCAGGAGTCATGTGATGCAGTCATGTGATGCAGCTTCCAGTCCCCTCTGAGTGATGCACTGTGCGTTCTGAGATGCATATAATATATGTGGGTGTGCATGAACACTTTTGGCTCATTTGCATTCTGAGCTCCGAACCCTGGAGAAAACGTTTTTTTTTTTTCTGCTTACCCATGAGGACAATGAGGGGATCAAAGTAAAATGCACTTTGTTAGATTATTAACAGCAGTAAAAAAAACACCCACATTTTTATTATGTATATTCTCCTCTTTAGAACTGAATTGTGGGTCATTTATTCAGATTGCCTGTTTCTTAAATACTCAGCTGTCTTGGTTTTAAGGCAGCATTCAGCTGTTTTCACACTTGGTGCTGAATGTTAGCTTTCTTTCTGTTTATTTTGATCTGATTCCGTATCTGTGATTATGACCCACTTAATGATACAGGCTTTACGTTACAAACAAGGCGTGGCGTTCATAAAAAATAACACCTTCATGAGTATGATGGCACTAATTCACAAAGTTATAAGCGCTTGCAGTACATCGACAGAACATTTTAACGCAACGTTAAGTGTTAATTTGAATAATGAGACTTCCCTATTCGAGTCTAGACGTCAAAGCCAGAATGCAAACACTGGCTTGAATATGGAGTTCCTGCTTGTTTTTGTTCCCAATTTTGGGGATTTATTTTCAATTCTTTTCAATAGTAGAAAAGTAGCACACTAGGGATGGAGTGAAATTGTTCATTTTAACCAAATGAGTGCTCAGTGGTGACTGACATCATTCCTGTGTGTATATGACCTACACAAGGTGTAATAACACACATTCTTAATTGTGATTATTACATTTTATTCTTTAGATATAATCACCTTTATTAATTTAGTAAAACAGGTTACATTTATTACCGGAATACCAGAGTTGGAGATTTCAGGTCCAGAGAGTACAAATCCAGACCAAGATTTAGTTTCAACCAGCCAGTTGAGTACTCTGTGACTGACTCTTTATACTCGACTGGCTGGTTGAAACAAAATCTTGGTCTGGATTTGTACTCTCTGGACCTGAAATCTCCAACTCTGGTATTTCGGTAATAAATGTAACCTGTTTTACTTCCTGAAATAATACATTCATCGGGCTTTTTGGGTAGATTTAAGTTTTAGCAAATTGGTTTTGATAATGTGTAGTATTAATCTGAAATGAAATAACTATCATCCTTGCATCGCTGACGTGCCCCCATTTGTCCTATATTTTTCCTATAACAGCACGCTGCAGATCTGGAGAAGAAACAAAACGAGTCTGAAAATAGGAAGCTGCTGGGGACAGTGATACAGTACGGAAACGTCATTCAGGTGTGTTCTGGTCATGGCGTCATGTGGAAGCGGTGGCTTTGTTTGCTGTTCGCTGACCTGTGGGGAGGAGCCGACTCCTGCAGCACACTCCGCGAGGAAGTGCGGCTGCCCCTTCTGCAGATCCCACTCTGTCTTGGATGCATCTCTGGAGGTCTCCCTTCCTCTCAGTGCTCCTTCAGCGAGTTAGCCTGCTGAAGCTCGCTTCAGGACATCAGCAAGGGCTCCGGTTTTGGCCAACGAGAAGTTAACCAGGTGTTTTTCTCAAATCTAGTTTTTATTTACATTAACAACAGGACTGTAATATTTTAGCAGAATTGATGGTGCATATCCACAAGGAGTAATTGCTCCCCATGGGACAGGCTGTCAGCAAAACCCTGTGTGAAACACTGCACCGTTACTTTAAGTTATACTTATGGCCATGGTGATGCAGCAGTGTTGCCCTGCTGGATGCATGGATGGGGGTCTCTCCTCCCCCCCCTCCCCAGTGGGCATTTCCCAGTGAAATATGCTTTGTCTATATCAGCCCCAAATTAATGTGTCAGCTGAACCAAAGGCAAATTGTATTTACTCACCAAAAAATGATCTGTAATATAAGTTTTCCACTACCTTAACTGGTTTGGACAATTTGTCAATGAACAGAAAACTGAGTATTCTTGTTATGTAGTTTTATTTGGAATAGTTCTGTGTGGTTTGGTTATTCTTATTGTCCATTTGTTTGGGTGCATTGAAGACTCTGTTTGGCAATATCTCTGCCATTTTTAAATACAAATTACTTGGAAAGAGGTTGACTAACACGACTTCAGTGAAATAATATTTTGTATTCATTCAGAAATATTCCCTTCTCCCACTCCTCTGTAACTCTTGCAGAAGACTGATTCCAGTTGAACTCATGTTTGTGTTTATTGGGCGATACTTAATATTCGCAAGTATTTCTTTCTTTTGCCTTGGAAAGAAGATCCAGGGTGGGAGAGTCTGTTTTGTCTCTGATTAGCTCTGACTCCCACTTGCAGCTGTTGCATCTGAAGAGTAATAAGTACCTGACGGTAAACAAGCGTCTGCCTGCCCTTCTTGAGAAGAATGCTATGCGGGTGATGCTGGACGCTGCTGGAAACGAAGGCTCTTGGTTCTACATACAGCCCTTTTACAAGCTGCGCTCCATTGGAGACAGTGTAAGTGTCAGCTGGACGCTGGTTATATGTCACTTATCCTGGGAATTAAAGCTCCTCATGTTGTCTGTGTGTGGCTGCATTTGGCTAAATGTTCTAATGAAGCATTTTCTACAGGAAAACCATCAAGAGTAGATGTGTTGGAAGGATTCCAGCTCTAAATGTCCAAGTTGATGATGGACAAAGAATTATATTGGGAAATATTTAATTGCCTCATGCAGTATTGTGTGTTGGCGTGGGATATGCTAATTGTTGGCTTTGTGACCTGCGACTGGTGAGATGAATCTGATTTTCCTGGTTTGGCCTCTGCCTTCCATCATCACGTGACAGTATGGAGTTCTCTGCTCTTATCTTCTATATCAGCCTCTCTTCCTGCTCACTGTCCTTCCTCCTCTGCCTGAGGAGCTTCCTGATATTCCTCAGGACCTTGCTGCCAGTGCTGTGCCTCCCTCCTCCGTTGCCCCCAGAGCTCTGCAGTAGCATCGCTTAAAGATCCTGCCACATCTGCAGACCTGCCAGCTTTGACTGAGTAGGCTTAAGTGACCCATTTATGCAGCACAGCGTCGAGCATTGAGCCAGTGTCCAGTGTGTGTCATCTACCGAACGCCCTCATGATGTATTATTAAATACCATCAGACAACCATTATTAAAAGTATCCTGGAGTTTGTGACTTGTATCAGCTGGAAGATGAGACGTATGCTTATGTATAATCTCCTCTTGCATTAGGGAAGTAAGTTTGAGATGTTTTACATGTTTTTCATCCCTGTCCACTTTCAGCAGCCCGATGTTAGTTTTGCACACTGACGCCAGGTCTAGGTTGCTGGGCAGGAGTACAGCATTAGTGGGAAGCCTCCTGTCTCTGAGTTGTCACACAAGCATGCAGACTGAAGGCGGAGATTAAGCACTGGTTAAATCCTAAATCATCTCGCTGCAGTACTTACCTAGCTGGCCAAGGCTTTGACAGAGCAGTTAGCATTACCAGACTGATACTGTGATGTGCTTTCTAGTAATCACTCGGAATTTTCTTTGGTCTTAAATGTCTAATGACATTTTTAATGTTCGCTATGTTTAATTTTTTAATGTAAATTTCAGATTTTACCTGAATGTTGTACTGTGTGGCCACTGGATATTTTCATGGAACGTACACACCGTTGGTACCGGTAGCCTTTCTGAAAGCCAGTGTAAATTAAGGGTCTTGATAGGCTACAGTCGACTGCAGGTTGGCCTTTCCTGTAGGGCCTAATGTGACACCAAATCGAGCTGGTGATCAGAGACCCAGGACCTCATATGCACATATGGGGCAGGGAATATGGGTGTCTGTGTGCATGCATGGAGAATGGGGAATGCACCGAGAACTGAATTTTGACATTTTCTCTTTATTGATCTGCCAGGTGGTGATTGGGGACAAGGTGGTTCTCAACCCGGTTAATGCTGGCCAGCCTCTGCATGCCAGTAGCCACCAACTGGTGGACAATCCTGGGTGCAATGAGGTATGTCCCTGCAGCACACTGGACATCTGAAGCCCCCACGTATATTAAGACATAGCAAACATTGTTTTTTATTTTAATAAAGCCATTAATTCTGTTATCATATATATGCACCGATGAGCCAAAATATTATGACCAGCCGAACGTGAAGCGAATAACATTGTCTATCTGGGAAATAGTGTCTACAATGGGCACACAAATGTCAGACCTCGACCTTGGAGCCATGGAAAAAGGTTGCCTTGTGCGATGAATTCTGTTTTGCTGTTGCATTATGTGGACGGCCAGGCACACAAGTCTAATTGTGGTTATTTAGCCCCAGAAGCAGCAGGGTTTCTCGCCCTGTGTGTCGAGACACATCATTTTGATGATTATCAAGGGAATAATCTGCCATTTGTGACATAGTAGACCTGTTAGTTTGTACCGCATGGGATAGCCTTCATTCACATCCCGCTTCGAGTCCTGGCTGCCCAACGCCTTGTTAGTGGTTCATAGTATTCCTCTCATCTGAGTACTCAGTAAGTACTCAGTAGGTACTCAGTCCAGCTGATTCTGAGCACCCCACAAGCCTTACCATATTGGTGAGGCTCTGACCCAGTTATCTGGCCATAATGATTCAAAACTTTACTCCTACCCATTTCTTCTTTATTCAACATGTCAACTACAAGTACTGATGTTAATATATCCGACTAATATAACCCAGACCTTGACACCATTTTTATGAGATGGCCAACATTATTTGCTTTCATATGGGGGTCTTGGTAGTGTTTTACTCATATCTGTGTGTGTGTGTGGCTGGATGGGGGGTCAGAGTAGCTGAAGGAAGCCTGTGTGAATGCAGGGAGGACATGAAGGCTCCTCGTCGGTGATATTGAACCTACAGCCCTGGAGCTGTGAGGCTACAAAGCACCATAAATACACTCAGTGACTATAAAAATGTAAGCAGCCAGAAGTAATGGTCTGATTTGGCTGTAACTTGGTACCCGTGCAGTCCAGCGATGGGTATGTAAATGATTTGATTTCCAAGGACCTGGAATGTCTAATCGCCAGACACAGAGGATGCCTCACAGGCGCATTAGACAGCATTACCAGCACTTGATGGAGTTTGATAGGGGTCGCATTGCATTGTGGGTTTGCATGAGGCCGGGTGGTGGTACCGTGCAGTTGCCCGGCATGTGGGGCATGCAGATGTCAGTCACCCGATGTTGGAACCAATGGGCATGTGAGGACAGCCACACACGTTGTGAAGGTTCCGGTCGCCCAAGAACAGACCACACCAAGGGAGGATCCTCATATTGTGCACCAAGCATTACAGAACCCTATGACATCTGCGCCTGCCATCCGGACACAGGTATTGGACTCTGTACAACACCCCATGTCATCCTGCACTGTGTCTGGACGACTGGCATCAGCTGGACTATGGATTCACCGTCCCATGCGTAGGCTGCCATTGATACCAGCACAGAGAAGCTGTGTTTGGAGTGGTGGCATAACTGGGAGGCATGGACTGATGACGGGTGGCATTATACCATGTTCAGCGATGAGTCTTCGTTCTGCATGACCACGGATGGCGGCGCCAAGGGGAGAGGACTAATCCTGTCAATGTTGTGGAGAGACCCAGCGATGTTACTCGTGGCATCATGGTGTGGGGAGCCATAGGGTGTGACTTCAGGTCATCTCTGGTAGTGACTCAGGAGACCCTGACGGCACAGCGCTACGTCAGTGACATCCTGCGTCTGCATGTCTTACCCCTCCTGAGACAGCACCATGGTACAGCCTTTCAATAAGACAGCACCCTGGTACACACACGGCATGTTTCTCTATGGACGGCCTGCGTCATGTTGAGGTCCTCCCATGACCAGCCAGGTCCCCCGATCTTTTCCCAATGGAACATGTGGGATCAGTTTGGACCTCAACTCAAACCCAGTGCCAGTCTGCAGGATCTCGAGGGCCAGTTACTGTACAACAGCTGCTGGCCAACTTGCCACAGGAGAGGATACAGCGGCTGTACGACTCCCTTCCTCACCGCATCATCACATGTATCCAGACATGGGGCCAGCAGTGTGCCCATACTGCCACCAATCCGTTTGATCTGATATTATAATCATTGTCATACAGTCACATGACCTTTCACTACGTGCAGATTCATTTCATTTCCACCACTCCGTTTGGGTGCTTAACTTTTTTTTGTCACTGAGTATATATAACCACAAAAAATATTTAAACTGTTATGTCTAAGGAATCTACCAGGGGTAGGTATTGTATGATGCTTTCTGTGTACATGAAGAGCGTTCTGCTTGTTAAAGACTAATGAAGAGCCGTGGTCTGGCGAATCGTATTTTGCTCCTCTTATTTATAGTAAGTGACTCCAGCAGACACAACCTTTTGTCTCTATAAATTGACCTTGAATGACAGCCCCTTAGCTTGCTGAGTATAGAAAACTCCATATAGACACTGTAGTGCATGGAAATCCCAGGGGGGTGGCTGTATGTAAGAACCATTATGTATGAGGCCAGCGGTTATGCAGTGATCAGAGGTGCTTGGATCAGGCCTTCTGGCCGTTACCATGCTTAGTCCAACAGCAAACTAATCCTCCTGACCCTGTATGTGTGCTGTGTGTATTCATTTGTGTAGAGGATCAGGCAATGTGCATTATAAAGTAGGCATACCTATATATCTATATATATCTATATCTATATATATCGATATCTATATCTATATATATCGATATCTATCTATATCTATATATCTATCTATATATATATATATATCTATGTATGTATATGTATCTGTATATATGTATCTGTATATATATGTATATGTGTGTGTGTGTGTGTGTGTGTATACACACCTGCATACGTATCTTACACATTGTCTGGAGATGGTTTTCTTTTTCAGTGGTAAAACAGATACAAATTCGCTTGCCTCTCCACAGTGAAGTTGTCTTCAAGTGCACTTTGGGAGCTCATGCTGGTTCCCAGTGTTGGTCTATTTAAGTACTTCCGTATGTCATGTCATATATATTATAATAACACAGTTAAGTGAGTGTAATAAAGCAAATGGCAGTAACTGTGTTAGCTGGCATTGCTATTAGCCAGTGTAAAATAGCGAAGGCCAGGACATGGATACATTTATGATTTAAGCTTGTATATTAGCTGGAACCTTCTGCTTTGGTGAAGACGGCAGACGCTCTGGCTTTCTGTGGGTTTATGCCGTGGGGGTTTTATAAATGGGTAGTTAGACTGGCAGCACATTTTGAGTATTAGGGTTAGACTTATGGCAGCTCGGAATTTTTATGAAGCAAATGTGATTTATGGCTTCTGGTCTGGTTTGACCATAATGCCTGAACATAATTCTACCAATATGGTAGCAATGCTGCTGAAAGCACCTTATATGCAATAATCTGATACCCGACGTGCTGCTGAGTGGCTCTCTGTCACACTATGCCGGTCATATTTATATTTATATTTATATATGTAAAGAAAGTCCTCGATGCTCCATGGCCCTATATTACCTAGTGTTGTGTTTGTCTATATGCACGTTGTATTTTTGCTTTATGCCGATGTATTTTGTACCCCGGTCCATGGAGAAACGTCGTCTCATCTCACTATGCATATGTACGCTGCTGCTGACGGCAATAAAGCACCTTGAATCTTGACACGGTCAGTCCACAGATACTCAGTTTGATTAGCAATTATCAAAGACTATTGCCTTGTAACTTAATATAACAGAAAGTTACCTCAGAGAAACCTGCATTCTTAAAGATTTTATTGGAGTTAATTAGTTTCAAAAACTAAGTTTAGACAGGGTGGGCCAAAGGTAGGCATACAGTGTTTATTTTCCAGTAGTGATTGGGTCATGTTTAGTCTCTTAGGTTTTTGAGGGGAAGCGCACATAGTGGGGGAATTGAAGGAGTTCATCTCGCAAGCATTTCTGGACATTGACGCTAACCGGGATTTGTGTGCTAAAGTGTGTCTCGGTGTCAATGGCAGGCTCCAGGAATGTATCAACGTGGATGGAGGACATTTCGAACGCCTGAGAGACTAAACCTGATCCAATCAGTACTGTAAAATAAACACTGTGCACCTACTCTTGGCCCAACCTGTATATACATACTGTATACACACTTTGGATGCCTCAGATCAAGCCACATAAAGCAATTCGATTCATTTCAAAATTCCGGGGAAAACATATAAAATACAGATGTGAACTGAGTGGTCAAATGACTGAGGTCCTGCTTCATTTTGCAGTAGCATTCTCATCTTTTTTTTTTGCACTTGTTCCCTTTCAGGTGAACTCTGTGAATTGCAACACTAGCTGGAAAATTGTTCTGTTCATGAAATGGAGTGACAACCAGGACGTTGTTTTGAAAGGGGTATGAATCAGGTTTCAGTAATTCTGTAGCATTTTTGTTTTATTTCACATAATAAGAGTATTTTTTCATAAAATTGAGTCATTAATACTTGCTGGTGTAAAGATGCGGCTGCTGTACTTCTCCCCTCCGGTTGCCAGGGCGATGTGGTCCGGCTGTTCCATGCAGAGCAGGAGAAGTTCCTCACCTGCGATGACCACCGGAAGAAGCAGTACGTCTTCCTGCGGACTACAGGGCGTCAGTCTGCCACGTCCGCCACCAGCAGCAAGGCCTTGTGGGAGGTGGAGGTGAGTGTGTGACAGGCGCTGGTGCGGCTGGACGTTCGTCCCCATGGCAGTGAAAACAGATGGTCATAATTTGACTTATTGCACTTCATTTCAAAATGTCACTTCAAGGTTGGTACTAGATGTAAATGAAAAGTGAAGTGAGATATCTGAATGTGAAACGTAGAATGACGGACGAGGCTTTCTGCAGTAAGGCCTGCAAGCCTGCTATTTATGTTAAGCTCAGCACTATGGGACCTCTGGACATCTTCCCCAGATCCTCCAGTAGATCAAGCTGAATGCATATTAGTATTTCCTGTCTGTCCCTGCCATTCCTCATGGTGCCTCTTGGGCTTCTGCTCATCAGGTGGTCCAGCACGACCCCTGCCGGGGGGGAGCTGGCTACTGGAACAGCCTCTTCAGGTTTAAGCATCTGGCGACGGGACATTACCTGGCTGCAGAGGTCAGCTTGGATCTTCCTAGAAGCACGTCAGCCACAGACACGCACTTCCATATTTTTCATGTTTTGATCCAAAAATCATGTAAACAGTTCACTTTTTTTTAATTAATTAATTAATTTATTTTTATTAATAATGTGTAACTATCACACAGACTTTGTTTGTCATGCTTTTTTTTGTTTGCATATATCCACCATTAGGTCAGCAACAGGGCATAATGATAAAATTCTGAAGTTTTAAAACAACATATTTTCAAAGGCGGAAAATAGAATGTAAGCTTCAGGACTGGTACTTATACGATGAACTTGAATGGAACTTGTTTTTACCAGCTGACTTCCTGTTATTATTATTATCGACATTATTGTTATTATTATTATTATTATTATTATTATTATTATTTATTTATTATTCAGTGCTATTGACTGCTTTCAGGTGAACCCGGATTATGAAGAAGAGTGCCTTGATTCTCGTTCATCAGTAAGTGAGATCCTGTGGCCAGACATGGGGACATGGGTGGCCTGTGTGTCTGTGTGACAGTAAGATAAGCTGTGGGTCATCATCTTTGATAAAAGGTTCCTGTCAGCTTGTTCTCTAGATATTTTGGCGAGTCACATTCTGGTTTTTGACCCGGGTGGTTTTTGCCGTTGTCTTTTATGCACCAAAGCGGGAACGTGGGGGGCTTAGCGGTGAATCTGTTAGACTTGCCGCCTGCAGTTTTTTGGGATGAACTCCCTGCATGAGTAGCTTCAGTGAGCAGCTGTGCAGCTCACAGCACTGCGCTGTGGGTCCCTGCATGTAAATCAGCCCAGGTCATTTACGTGCAGTACCATGCCTGCTAGGCAAATGATTTGATTTTAAATAAATTATCCTGTGACAGTTAGTCTGTATTCAGTTGACACAGTAGGACGGAGGTTAGGAAATTTAGGACTGTATGTCTCACTTGTGTCACACAATAGAAGGTCGATGCATTTCTGCAGGTATCACATAGTGTTTTTTTCTGTTCAGTAGTTTTTCAAACTATTTTGGAAGCATTTTATATAGAAGAAAAAAAGTTGTAGTTAATATAAACAATTAATACTTTATACAAAAATGTAGGTCACATGTTAAGTAAATGTAGCCGCAGAATATAATTATCTTTAATATTTTGTATAATTTGAGAGCTAATGCCTGCACTGACCACAAGATGTCGCTCTTGCATTTTTTATCCTTTGGCTTGGTGCAGCTTGCTCTTCTGGGCTGGAACATGCGGAAATACGGATGTCGCCTTCTGGTTGTAAAGTTTTGATGTGCTGGATCAGGGGTAGGCTTTGTTTTGGGTTTTGATGGGGAAAAAATGAAAGCAATACAGGATGTAGGATATGTTAATCTAAATTTCCAAAAAGTGAGGGATCCATAAGTATTGTTTTCTTATCATTTTTTACATAAAAATAACACAGGCCATTTACATGTAATGAATTCAAGCCATACGTAACAGCATTTTCTTTGTTTTAGTTTCTATCACAAATATAAGCTTCTTAGCATACTGAAACATCATAATGCGGCTAATTCTCCTTTCAATGTGCTTCTGTTATTGATTTTTTTTTAACAGTACACAAAGTTGCATATTCAAATATATAGTTCATATTTAATAAAAAAAAATATACAGTTAAATATATAAAATTAAAAACTGTAGTCACTTAGTCATATTATGCAAATGAAACCGTATCATGTCTATGATGATTATTTATTTCTATGATGCATATTTCTGTGGAATTATTGTGAATGAAACTGTCTAGTGTCCCTTAAATTGGAAAATGCTTTTGCTGTGTGACGAGCATTTTTTGGATGTTTCAGATATAGATTCACAAACTAGTGGTATATGATCATTTTAATCTGATTTACATAATTAAACAATGGATTAAAAATTTGAAATATACACTTTATTCCTCTACTCTGAGAAGTTCATGTAACCAACTTTAACCATTCTTAACTAAAGTTTTACTGAGTTTAACGAAGGCAAGGATTTCATTTATGCAATTATTTGAATCACCCAAAAATGTATTGTTTATTGAATGAGGAAATACTTCCAGCAAAGGCAATATAATATGAAGGTTATTGTTGTCACTGGTGCTCACTTATTTAGGAGAAGTGCTTCCCCAGATTCTTTCTGTATAGTATTTGTGATTAATAGTTTTTATGAAATGTTGTTTGCTCATAAATACTTGTAATAATTTTCCTTTTATTTTTACTATTGACAGTAATTGGTCACAGTTATGTTCAGTGCTAATGAAACTGACCATAAAATTGTCAGGCTGTCAGCCCCCGCTTGGACTGCCATGCGTAGACCATTCCATGCGTAGACCATTCCATGCGTAGACCATTCCATGCGTAGACCATTCCATGCGTAGACCATACCATGCGTAGACCATACCATGCGTAGACCATACCATGCGTAGACCATTTTCGCCATTGATGGGCCCTGGCTGCCTGTTTAACACATTCCTCCTGCACTCCCAGCTGGACTCCGACCAGGAAGCCCTTCGAGCACGGCTTCGCACAACCCAGGAGAAGGTCATGTATACGCTGGTCTCGGTCCCCGATGGCAATGACATCTCGTCCATATTTGAGCTGGACCCTACCACTCTGAGAGGTGGGGACTCCCTTGTACCAAGGTAGGACATCCCAGCTTCACCACAGAGTTTCTCAAAGTATGGATCACTGGACTAGGACTAGCTGTAATATAGTCATTTGGGATGGGTGATACCACTGTTTTTCACTTTTTTTTAATGATCTGGTACCAAGTATTGCCAAGGTTGGTATCCTTATTCTTAAGTCTTCTTGTTTGCATTAAATGGAAAATCAATAGTATCTGTTTTAGATAGTAGCCCACAGAACAACACAGTAGCCTACAGCCTATATATTGGCTTACATGCATCATTAGGTACATCACTTCTTTATGCTAACAGGTAAAAAACTGGATCATGCAACTTCATACATTAGATGGTACAATAGATATGTGTTTTATTAAATATATTCCTGTAACCCCCCGTAACAGTCGCCATGACTGTTAAAGATTTAGGCAAGTGCAGGATCTGTGGAGAGGTGGTGTGGTGGAGCCTGGTGGTGACTCTGCCATCTGATAAGCTTCCTGTGTGTTAGCGTGGTTTCAGCGTTATCCGTGACAAGAAGCACGAGATTTTTTAAACCTTATGTCCAAGATGGCGCTCGCAGCTTTACGTTAGTGCCCAGGAATCGGTGCTCACATCGCAGTGCCACTTGTCTGCAGAGGTGCTTTTATGTAAGC